CTAGAAATTAAATATATGCCAAGCAAAAAATAAGTTCCATCCATGTTATTTCTGACTAATAGCCAGTTTGGCCAAGTTTTTTTGTCGGCCAGAAGTACTTTTTTGGGTAAAAAGTATTTTTTTCTTTCAAAATTAAGGTATTTGACCAAACTTTCAGAAAAAAAAAATTCTTTTGAGTAAAAGTAGAAGCAGAGGCATTATTTGAGAAGCAAAGAAAAAGTAGCTTCTTCCCAAAATTACTTTTTTGAAGAGAATTTTTGAGAAAAATATACTTAGAAATAATTTTTAAAATCTTGGTCAAACACTAATTATTAGTTCAAAAGTGTTTTTCAAATTAATTATCCAAACACAAACTTGTGAGAAAAACATACATGTTATAAAATTCCTTAAGCTTACCCTTTTTGATTGGGGAGGCATATTAATAGAAAAGAGAATACAAAATAAAATAATTAATTAAGTTTCTACCATGGATGTTGATTGTACAACATTATATGGACAAACTATGGTATATTGCCGAAAACATTGAATCCTTACATTAAATAAATGGTTAAGTGATATGTATGGTCAGTTTAATTTGCAATAAAGAGTCAAATTGCTTGAATTGATATAAATATTATGACTAATTGTTTTTAATGTTTTTGCAGGAATTACCGGAGCATCAACGGGGCGATGCCGTAAGTTCAATGGTGTATGAAGCTAATGCTAGAGTTAGGGATCCAGTTTATGGTTGTGTTGGAGCTATATCATCTTTGCAACAACAAATTGATCATCTCCAAACACAATTGGCAATTGCACAAGCTGAGGTTGTACACATGAGGATGCGACAATTTTCGTCGATGTCTAGCGGTGGCGGAACGGCCGGAAACTCACCGGAAAATGTGTCGCCGTCGTCCCGACACACTCAAACTCAACCAATCATGTCCCTTTTTACCATGGACATGGTGGTTGATCAAGCTAATATGGGAGAGTCCTTATGGTCTTGCTAGCTAGTAACCTATATTGTTCGGACTTTTCATATGTCACTGGATACGTGTCATGCGATTCTTTAAAGTAGTGCATTTTTAAAGAATCCGATACAAGCGTGACAATATTTTTGAAGAGTACGACAACATATCTGGTAACTATTTAGCGAGTTGCTTGACTAGCATGCTTGCCTAGTCTTTTCTAATATTTGCTATCAAGATCTTACTTTATTGTCTGCTTCTTTTTTTTCTTCTCTTTTTTCTTACTATACATCTTTATTTAGCACATCTCTACCTGACCCCTCAAGAGATGATGATGACCATTATTAACCATATTGTAAATGTCTAAACATATAATTATTATGAGCTATAATTATGATATGTAGTTATGTATGCTGAGTTGACTACTTTATAATTAGTTTCCTCTTTTGCCTTTGTTGTGGCGTGGAGAATCAGTTCAAGATTTTTGTATCTAATGCTTTTAATGTTTGTACCTTACTTTTGAGGAAACTGCAAGAACATTTTTAACATAATGTTTGTCCTTTTTTTTTTTTTTTTTTTTTTCATTTTTCTTGTTTCCTTTTGGCCCCCATGTTGGAATATGGTGTTATCATTAAGGCAAAGTATCAAATATGAAGTGACTATAATTATAGGCCATGGCTTTTTAAAATATCAAGTTCCTTTTTTTTTAAATGGCTTCTCCACTATTATATTTTTTTTCATTACTGTTATGATTATACTTTTCTTGAGCCGATAATCTATCGGAAATAACATCTCTATCTTTATAAGGTCGGAGTAAGATCTGTATTCGCACTACCCTCCTCAAAACTCACTTATTGGATTACATCGAGTTTGTTGTTATTGTTGTATAATTATAGGCCATAACACTTTAAATGACATTCTCAATATCCTCTACATCATGAAAAGATGTCATGTCTCTGAAGCTATTTTATTTCCATCAACCCAAATGGTATCCTTAGAGACAAAAGCCAGAGAAACAGATCTAATTATAGGGGGTGGCAAAATTTGATTTTTCAAGATTACTTCATTCCACACTCTTTCATGAACAATGTGAATTGAAATTGCAAATTTAATACCTTTTGGAACTATGCTCAAGTTGTAAGGTAGTTGAGACTTGCTTTTCATGTGTCTATGCTCAAGTGTGTGGTTGTGTAGGTATGTGTTCTAAGACTTTCATAGAAAGACAGAATTGTATAAGGGGACTCTCCAATAGTTTTCGAGGATCTATCAGAAATAATTTCTCAACCTTCACAAATTATGACTAGTATCTGCATACACATTACCCTCTTCATATTTCGTTTGTGAGAATATACGGGGTATATTATTGTTGTTGTAAACTGATGTAAAAGAAGATTCTATATTAAATTTTATTAATTTTGGCCAAGATCATATTTTAGAGCTCAAGTTCAAACATATGGACTTATTTTCAAGAAGTGCAAGAAGTTCAAGAAGCTCAAGATTGATTTCAAGAATGTAAAAGAAGAATCTATATTAAATTTTATTAATTTTGGCCAAGATCATGTTTTAGAGCTCAAGTTCAAACATATGGACTTATTTTCAAGAAGGGCAAGAAGTTCAAGAAGTCAAGATTCTTTCCTTCTTAAAATAGGATTTATTTAATTCCTTTTAGAATAAGGATTTTCCTTTTAGTAGGGTTCTAGTTTCTTTTTACTGTAGAATAGGGATTTTGCTTTCGTCGTCTTTAGTTATTTTATTTCCTTATTAGAATAGGAATTTTAGTCGTGAAAGAAGAGACTTTAGGCTTATATAAAGGGTTCCCTTGCCTTGTAGAAAGAATCCACGTTTTTAGGCTTGCCTTAGTTTTATAATAGAGTATTTTCCTCTATTTTGTCTTCTTTATCCTTGTTTTTGGTTCCAAGTAAGGCGATGATAGTCTTTATCTTGTTTTCAATTGCGTGTGGTATTTCTTTATCACGTTAATTGATTTCAAGTGGTGACTTTATAAACTTGTTTAGTTCTTGATCTTTCAAGAACACGTTTCTTGATCTAAATTCATTCTTTTGATATCATAGAATCATAACTTTCATTGAACTGACGCATTATCAATATTTACTTGTTTTGAATGATTAAATGGTTTTTCTTATAGTTTAGATTGTCATCTTTCACCTTATTTTTGAATAATTAAATTCCGAGTCCTAAAATTTGAGATACGTTGTTTATTGAAATCGACCCACAAATCACATTTTCGTTTCAAGATCTTGATCCTGGTCGGTTGGTTCTTTGTTAACTCGAAGAATCACATCATAGATTCTTTAGTAGTCCAGTGCAACTTAAACCACAATCTACACATGCATTTTGGATTTAAGGAAAGAGGAGGAACAAGAAAGGAAAAGAAAAGGTGAGAAGGGTGAGTTTTGTAATGGCTCAAGTAAATAAAGATCATAATCAGAAGTAATTTTCAAAAACATGATTGTTGTGGAGTTGCAATATTTGATAACAACAGGTCTACTATACTAACACAGCATCAATAGCTCAAATTGAAAATATTTACATCTATATGCCTTTGTGTTAAAGGTTACCTGTCAGTTAATTAAGTACAACATGCTTGATTCAAACATTGCCCTATCATTATTATTATCATGCTTTAATTTTTAGTTCTTTTTTCACATTAATCTTGCTGTCAAATATTCTATATTCCATATGAAATAGCTGGAATCAGGTCTTTTTTTTGGTATAATTGGTGTTGGCTCTATTATAGAGGTCAACTTAAAAAAGGGCAGTCCGGTGCATTAAGCTCCCGCTATGCGCGGGGAAGGGGAAGAGTCGAACCACAAAGGTGTATTGTACGCGGTTTTACTTTGCATTTTTGCAAGAGGTTGTTTCCACGGCTCGAACCCGCGACCTCCTGGTCACATGACAACAACTTTACCAGTTACGCCAAAGCTCCCCTTCATACGAGTCAACTTTGATATCGGCAATTTCCTTTGGTAAATATGAAATGGTGATATGAGTTCATATAGCATCTTTCATTGTAACAAATCTTTGGCTTCTCCTTAATTTGCATGTAAGTTATTACTTTCTGCAAATTTCAATAGCCATAGGCAGATTATAGCCAGATGCTAATCTACTTTTGTTTGTCCTATAAAGACCTTACATCTTTATTGGTATACCAGAAAATTGGTAGAAGCATACATTGTGTTGTGTGCTACAAATATAGTTATTAAATGGTTAGCACAGCATAAAAAGCCAATTAAGCTAATTTATTTAACACTAAAAATTCTCTATATTTGCTGATAACATATAAATCTCTAATAAGTTAAATTTTTTTATTAACAAACAATAGACCTAAATAAAGGCACTAAGATAACTAAAATTCAATCCTAACTAATTAAGATATCACCACACACACATATGTTTTCCTTATATTGGATCATTTTATATTCTAAGTCTATTGATACTAACAGCTTTTTTGGATTGTTGTTACGTATCGTTTCATAATGAATCGTACTGTATTATAATGCACAGTACTATAATGTTTGATGATACAATGTTTGAATATATTATATCGTTTATCATCATTTTATGATGTCACACGCCAACAATATGAAAAATAAACTTGTAACACTACTAAGAAAAAATAGGATACATAGTAGAATTATTTATATAAAAAAGTAAGGTAAAGTATAAAATATGATTATTTAAAAATAAGAAAAAGCAAGATAGAGAAAAAAGTAAGATAACGATGACACTACATCAAATCTATCGTTCCATAAAGTGACATTTTTCGTCTTTACGTAATAATGAATTTAACGATACGATATCATAAAATTAACAATCGAAATAAGAATTATATTTAAAGTACAATATAATACAATGCAATAGGTAACGATCCGGAGAAGAAGCCACAAGAGATTGTAAGTCTTTCAGTGTACAAAAAATTAAATAATAATAATAGATAAAATATATTTCTATCATATTCAAATTTGGAGCGAATAGTAAAAAAGAAATTTAATTTATAATAAAGAAAATATTTATTTCAGTCTACTACTGTTTTCTCTCTCTTTTTCTCTTGCGGGAAAAGAATCAGTCAAAATCATGAATATTCTCTTGATCTCTTCTCCTTCCTTACACCTTCCTCACAACTGCTCCATCTTCTACTCTTCTACTCCTCACTGATTTTGGATTTCATATTAGAAGCAAAATTAAAGCTGAATTAAATACTTGGGCTACAGTGAAAATGGCAGGTGCAAATAAAGCTTTCAAAATATGTAGTAGTGTATCTGAAGCACTGAGTTACATGCCATTTTCGCTGCAATACACTGAGCCTAACACTAAGAATGACCTCTGGGTATTTTGGAGCCAACACAATAACGAGTTTCCTACTGTCTTCCCCAGCAGTAAGTGTCTTTTCCCCTTTATGTCTATGGTCTATGGATTGGTATTTACACTATATAACATCCAGATTATATGATACTAGGGTTGCAAACTGGCGGGTCGGGCCAGATATGGGCGGGTAAAAAAAAAACGTATAATGCAAAAAACGGATAAATTATTTGACCCATATTTAATACGGATAAGAAACAGGTTAACCGGTGGATGAGATCGATCATGTGGTGATTTCTTGAATATGATCACTTTTGGGAGAATTTCTAATCTCACAAACTTGAGGAACCCCAATTTGAAGATTAGTTATCTGAATAATATGCTTATTATCCATATCTGACATGTTTTTAAAAAGTACATTATCCAACCCAGATGGATAACTATATTTTTAATCCATTTTGCCACCACTATACTCAACTCACTTATTTGGAGAATGATGCCTATGGCCTATGGGTTCTCACTTTGTCCCTTCTTTTAGTTTTACCCCTGGCTAGATTCTTGTGTTTGGTTAATGAATAGGAGTAGTGACACTCATTGTGTTTATTGGGTACCTTTTTTGCTTACGGAGGTCAATTTGACAGATTTTGGTACTAAATTGGACTATATTAATTTATTTTGGACTAAAATTTGGAAATTATGTTATGATATGGAACTTAAGCCTAATTAAATCTCAAAAGCTAGTTCACAAGATAACGATTGTGCAAGACCATATAAGAAGTCCAAGTCCCCCATCCACTACCAATTTGGGAATCTAACACGTGAAACGTACCATAAATATATGTACCCAACGGTGTGGCCTAGTAGTCAATAAAGTGGGTGCAAATCAATCTCAGGGTTCAAATCCTAGCAGTGACAAAATATGTGCTAGACGATTTCTTCCCATTTGTCTAAGCTTTGGTTGGTAGAGTTACCTGGGAGATATCATGTAGCGGATGGAATAGTTGAGGTGTATGCAGGCTGACCCGAACACCAATGTCATAAAAAAAAGTTCCATGAAGACAAATTTCTTCATATCAGATGGCAAAACGTTGAATTTTCCTCTTACTCAATGTTCACTTAGTTGAATCAGAGGAGCAGAAAAGTGACAAACCTTTTGCCACATAGGTTGTAGTACTCTCTAAAATCTTAATAATGTTGGACTTCAATCTTATCAAAGTAAGTGATTAAAGTAGTAGTCAATCAATGCATCTAGCTTAGAGATTATTTTCTGGTACTTCTCTTGATCTGACTTATGGAACTTTAAGGGATGCCTAGGACTTGATATACTCCAACCATCCTAATACTTCAAAACAGTCAGTTTGCACAATTTATGAAGATTGGTTCATGTCATTGTTAGATTTTAATCAAGTTTTAGTGATATAATAGTTAGAGCAGTTAAAGTAAAAATTCAGGCTTGTATGTTTAGAACACTAAATAATAGTTTCAAATCATGGTGCAAAAGCTCTCTGAATCAGAGAAAGGAAAATACCAGAGCAAAGTGAAGCCAGTAAAGCGAACAAGGGGAGGTAGTAGCTAACTTGCAACTCTCATTCATGTTACTCTGCGGAGCACTGCATAACAGAGGCGGACCTACTCTATAGGTTGAGGGGTCACCGGCAACCGGAATATTCGGCAAAAACTCCATATATACTTGCAAATCTCTTTCAAAATATAGTCAGATATTAGCATAAGCCCCTGTACCAATCTACATGAGCATTAATAAATTTATATTGAACGCCATAGTGCCCCCGCCACCACCGAATCCTGGGTCCGCTCCTGCTGCATAAGTATTCTTAAGTGTAAACTTGGGCTTGTTATTCACTCCTATAACTAATGCAATCATGTTGAAGTTCTAATATTGTTCTTTTTAGGAGTGCACCATTGGTGGAGCTGCTTATTTGTTTCATCTGTTATCTGTTAATCTAAATTCCCAAGGATTTGATTATGATAACTTTTGTTACTCGATAAATGAGCGACTTTTAAATGAGTTGGGTTTAGATTGGGGAATATGAAGTCTTTGAGCTTATGGATTAAGTCTTGAATATTGAGGAGTTTGAATTGTATATTTAACCAGTTTTTCAATATGATTGTTACGTATCCATCTTTCTGAATGAGTCAAGTGACTAATATCATAAATAACTTCTTACAGCTGCTTACACTACTATCTATCATGATACCATCAAGGAGAAAATCACATCCGCTCTCAAGAATGCCTACATTTCTGACAACTTCGGATGCTGGTTGGTTCAATTTTGGGCACCTATAACCACTAACGATCAGATTTTTCTAACAACTTGTGACCTACCTTTTGGTCTTACGAAACTCCATGAAGGACTTTGTTTTTATAGGTCAGAGTGTCTGAAATTTAGAATTCCTATTATAACTGATTGTTCTGAGAATGAGTATCGACTTGGTCCTGCTGGACGCGTGTTCCAACATGGTTTGCCTGAAATGAGTCCAGATGTTTCTCGTCATTCTGCCAATGATTATCCTCAGCATGACTTGGCTGCAGCTGCTGGTTTAGGGAACTACTTGGCTGTACCGATTTTTGAGCCTCTTAGTAATCAGTGCATTGGAGTACTTGAGATCATAGGGGATAAGAAGGGAAGCTTCTCTCAAGATTTTGTTCAAATGGTCTATGAGATGCTCAATGTATGGCTTTCCTCTCTACTTTTCTTGCCATTTCTCTCTCGCTCGCTCTCTCTTTCAGTTTGTTTGAGTTAGTTTTACTGTAGAGAAAGGAAAGGTTGTTCGAAACTTTGCTTGATTTTAGTGTGGTAGCTAAAGTATAAAAAAACATGAATTTAGTGAAGAGTTTGGTCATTTTTAAATGTCACAATTACCACTTCAATTTTCTAGAGATAGATTAAAAGACGTTTTCTCTTCAGGAGATATGCCTAGTAGCCTACTAGTTTCTCATAACCTCTATATATTTCTCTGAGCATGGCATCTTGTTCTTAACAGAAGGTGGACTTGAGATCATCAAACATATATGGCCACCCCGACAAGAAGGTATGTTCATGAAGATGCTCTATGCCTGAATCCCCCAAGCCAGGAAAAGAATATATTTACTAAACTACAGTGTACCTCTTTAAATGAAATAAACTAAAGCACCTGTATCAACTGTCTGTTTTTAGCAGGGCCTTAGAGGGCTAGAACGCGCCCTAAAAGAGATCGAGGAGCAGTTGAGTTTTATATGCAGAACACATCAATTACCTCTAGCTCAGACATGGCTACCTATCCTTGACGGAAGCAATGTTGAAAGATTCACGACCACAGAGGAACAGTTCTGCATATGCACGTCAGCTGGCTACGAGTTCAGAGCTGCTTGTGATATGTTTCACTTAGGGAAGAGTCAGGGGGTTGTTAGTAAGGCCTTTTTAACCCGTAGTTCATGCTTCTGCAGTGACATCACACAGTTAAGCATGACTGAGTACCCCTTGGCACATGTGGCACACAGAGTTGGATTACATAGCTCGTTTGCTATATGTTTGCAAAGTTCCTACACAGGGGACTATGTATACCTATTGGAGTTCTTTTTACCCCAAGATAACAAGTCAGATTGCAGGAGTCCACAAACCATATTGAATATGCTATTGGCCTCGATGAAGCGACAATTTCGAAGTTTCAAGCTTGCTTCTGGACAAAAACTGGGAGAGAAATTATCTGTTGAAATTATACCTGTTCCTTCAGATGATGGACTCAACTCTTTTGAGATATGCCATAGTGTGAAACCTTTATCTGATATTGAAGCAGTAGCACATCCGGGAAAAATAGAGTGGTTTGACCCATTAAACAGATTACTGAAATGTGGAAATACAGTAAATATCTGTCCTAAAAATATTGATCTAACAACATCATCAAGAACTGCTAACACTACAACAAAACTAACAAATGTGAGGGTGCTAACTAATAGAGCTGTTTCCAATAGCTCTGAGGAAGAAAGCATGATGAAAATATCCGAAGGACACCACAGAATTAACAGTGTAGTGCTTCAACAATTAGTTGGCGCAAAAGTTGGCACTGAAACCACTCTTGGTAATAAAAATAAATTCTTTTAAACAGATCTATTGCATCTCTGATTGTATGCAGTAATATTTTCACGTATGTTGATGTTATTCTAAGTAATTTCTTACTATATTTGCAGCCAGCCAATCTGCTCCAAATAGTCTTGGCACAAAGCATCTTGAAATTAACGGCATGAATTGCTCCAGTGATCATCTTGAATCTGCCAAGGTTGCTGATAGACATTGTGAAGAATCCAGTGGAGGTGACCAGTCATGTCGCGACACCACAACTTCCTTGACTCATGCTGCAAAGCCTACCACACAAGCTGCAGGAGTGCAGAACGAAAGCATCATTCCAAGAAAATGTCCAAATTTTCTACTCTCTGGGGTTCGTGCTGATGATCTAGAAAGGTTAGCCAAGGTGTCTAAGCTTTATGATCGTGAGGAGCTCCAGGTTTGAGCTCTTTCCAAACAATTACTGATTTTCTAACAGTATCATTAAGTCAAAATTGTTGATTGATGCACATGATTTACGTTGATTTGATTTGATTACTCTAAGTCAGCCATTTGTTAGTGGACAGGTTGTGTTCGTACTATTTTTCCGTTCCGGTTTCCTAGTACCTGCCACTGTACTGATTATTGATATTGCTTTTTCCATTTATTTTTTCTGATTCTTAGCTCGCTGGTACTATCTTTTTGGTATATGTTGTTTTTACTGTTATATCGTCTCATTTCATCTTCTTCTGCCTAGGATCTATCGAAAAGAACCTCTCTACCCCCAGGGTAGGGGTAAGGGTTGCGTACACTCTACCCTCCCTAGACCCCACTTGTAGGATTATACTGGGTTGTTGTTGTTGTTGTTGTTGTTGTTGTACTCTAAGTCAGACATAGATTTGGAGATATTGATATCCTAGGTGAAAAGTTCAAATATGGTGAACTTTGGCAACCATTGGTTTATAGATTTGAGAGATGATTGGAGGGATGGATGACGATACTTGTCAAAAAGGGGAAGAATCATGCTATAAGTTCTTACATTACCTTATCAAAAAAAAAATCATGCTATAAAATTGCAATTCCATTTTCGGTGGGTAAGTTTGAAAGCTAATGAGAGACTTCTGACAAGAGTGGGTTGCTCAAGTGGTGAGCACCCTCCACTTCCAACCAATAGGTTGTGAGTTCGAGTCACCCCAAGAGCAAGGTGGGGAGCAGTGTTTTTAAGAGCGAGAAGCGCAAAAAAGCGACAAGGGCTCGCAGCGCTTCAAAAGCGAAGCGCAAAGCGAAGCGTACGCTTTATTAAAGTGAAGCGCAATTCTTAAAAAACATAATGTAAACCTTGCAAAGACACAATATAAAATTATAAATAATCAAAAAGTTCAAATTGTCAAAATCAAAGCTACTAAATTACTAGAATCAACCTCTTATTCTTCTACTCTTCTTGTTCTTCTTCAAGATTGTCAAAATCTTGAATTCCTCTATTATCTTCATATTGCTCGTCATCTTCCTCCTCCCCCTCCTCTTCCTCTTCATGATCACTTTCATCTTCATCAATTAGGGATAGGGATCGACTTGTGGTAGCCACACTTTTTCCCTTCCTAATCGAGCTTGAACTTGAAGTATTCCCCCTTAAACCATAAGGATTCTCCCCAACTCCACTAGCAACCGCAACATCACCCCAAGTGAAATTAGAATCGCCTTCAAATACTTCTTCATCTTCACAATTTTCGGGGACTCCGGTTAGCCACTCATTAGCCTCATCAATATTGTCCAAAAGAATTGGATCAATTAGATTGCGGTGGTTGTAGCGACGCCTCAATGCTCTATTGTATTTTATGAACACTAGATTATGGAGGCGCTTCAAGGTTAGTCGATTCCTCTTCTTTGTATGAATCTGCAAACAAGATGTGTCAACTAATTAGTAGGAGTTGGGACAATTGAGATATAATTTACTTTATCTCAAAACACGAAATAATTCTTTTTATTTCTCACGTGTTCAAAAACGCTCCAGTTCCTTTCACATCCGGATGAGCTACAAGTTAAACTTAGAACTCTGATGGCGAAAGTCTGTAAATTCGGAGTCTCTACACCATATTGGTCCCACCACTCAACTATAGAAGTGAAAAAAAAAAATTCAAGAGTTAATAAGTATAAAAAATACATTAAAGTTAGAGCTATAAAATATAGAAGCACTTGGTCACCTGGCGATTTCGTCTTTCTTTGTTTAATAGCAAGTCGGAGCTTAAAAAGTCCCTCAGCTGCCTTGTAAATAGCAAGCTGATCTACTATCTTTTCTTGCATGTCTTCATCTGGGGTCAACTTGATAACAACCTCATGGAATCCTGTCCACACTTCTCTAGCCAATGAATTATTCTCATGCTGATCATAAAAGAGTGACGGGTTCAGAATAAGTCCAGCTGCATGCAAAGGTCTATGAAGTTGCTCACTCCATCTTGCATCAATGATCTGAAAGACCTTTGCATATTTCTGCTCATCAGTGAATGATGCTTGAATAGCCTCCTTGGCCCTATCCATAGCTTCATAGAGGTAGCCCATTGGTGGTTTTTGCTCCCCATCCACCAAACGGAGTACTTTAACCAAAGGGCCACCAATTTTAAGAGCATGAAGGACATTATTCCAAAAAGAATAAGAAAGAATAATGCGTGCAACATCTTTCCCTGCACTTTCCTTTGCAAATTTACTCTTGCTCCATTCCTCTGAAGTGAACAACTTTCTCAAATTGGATTTTTGCAAGTGGATACTATGTAAAGTCAAGAAAGCAGTGGCGAACCTTGTCTTGCCCGGTTTCACCAAATTTTTTTGTCCGGTGAATCTTCTCATCATATTCAATAACAAGGGCCGCTGAGAAATATAAGAATGTACCCTAACGCCCTGGCCAAAAACTGTAGAGAAGGGTTTTTCCTTGAAAATGTCCCCGAAGATTAAGTTGATACAATGAGCCGCACATGGAGTCCAATAGACATTCTTGTACGCTCCTTCCACCATGCCACCCGCTTTCACATTTTCACTCGCATTATCAGTGACCACTTGAACAACTTTGCTTGGGCCAATCTTTTCAATGGTGTTCTGAAATAAGGTGAACATTTTGATGTGGTCAGTGGATGAGTCGCTAGCATCAATGGACTCAAGAAACAAACTTCCCTTGGGAGAATTCACCAACACGTTAATAATCATTTTCCCAGTTCTTGCCGTCCACTTATCCATCATAATGGAGCAGCCATACTTGTTCCACGCAACTTTATGTTCCTCCACAATTTTATTAGTCTCCTCCACTTCCTTATTTAGATAAGGACCTCTGATTTCATGATAAGTGGGAGGCTTCATTCCAGGTCCGTATTGACCAACGGCCTCAATAAAGTCTCCAAAAGTGTCAGTATAGTTGACACAATTGAAGGGGAACCCAGCATCATAGACCCATCGTGCAAAAGCTCTAACTGCACGATCCCTCAAAATGTCCTTAGCAATTTTTTGTACATCTTTTCCACCGCTCTTTCCTTCCGGCTTCTTTGGGAAATAGCAATCTATAGGACCTTTAGTCCTACTCGTACCCGTCGATCCATGGCTTGAAGAGATTGCATCTCTTCCCCGTTTAGTTGGAAGTGACAATTCTTCAATATCATCATCACCATCATCATCAAGATTGGTCACCAATAGTTGATGACTCATTTGATTTTTTTGCTCCTTCTTCTTCTCAACAAAATTCTTTATTTCATCCCTCACCTCCGATGGATATTTCGGATAACTTGTGACGTTTCTATCGCCACCAATAAGATGGAATTTAAAGCGATAAATTCCACCCGTTG